ATCAACAAATACTAATCTCAAAAATAAAGATTATTGAACTATCTCTTTATTCATTTACTTATTRAAATATCTATCTATTACAGCAGAAACCGTTGCGTCGCGACTTCAATGCTCAAAGGAAATATAGTTGGGATTTAGGGTTTTTCTGCGACTTGGGGGCGGAGCTTGATACAAATCAGCAATGATTGAACGAGTTTTCGAAAAGCTCCGCCCCTCAGATTGAAAGAAAGAACAAAATCCAGACAAACTTCAAAACAAAGAGGTCGCGATGCAACGATTTCCGCTGTAAATATTACATAAAGAAGTTCTTCTCATTCTATAATCTCCAAAAATATAAAATTCTGTACATGTTCGAACACACACAAAAAAATTAATCTTAAACCAATAGGATTGTTGTAGTTTCATCGACTTCACATTAAAAAAATAATAAATAGTGAAAGAAAAGCTTAAAAAAAGGACATCACTGATTAATCCATAGATCCTCTATACCTAACATCCCGGCTTAATAACCATAATTCATTGCATGTTGGTTGTCAGTGTATTTTGAAATAAGTAAGAAGTTGATCGAAAGCTCGGGTATTCAACAAAGTTTTTCATGAACAAACATCTCGTCTAAAACAACGGTATGTTAGAAGTTGTTAAATGCAATCAAAAATAACGGGTTTAGCGGGCTCCAATGAATAGTTTTAGGRATTTTTCCTTATAAGACCTTGTCTCGATCATGATCTCAAAATACTTTTTGCATTCGGTTGTTAATTGCATTGTGGAAACTAGATCAGGACAAAAACACGTTTATCGAGCGATTCGGACGACAACATGGACATATGTGCCTCGATTGTAAGCGTTCAAATGGCTAGACGGACTAGAAAATGCTGCCCAAAATCGCTACGCGCTCGTCACGCGAGCTCTTCTAATGGACTTTTGAAGTAACAGGATGACTGTTTGTTTTCTTCTACAGACTATATCAACAATTGTATTCTAGTAGAAGGTAAATTTAAAAGAATTCTAGCAAACTATTCTTACCTGTTCTGTCTTTTACGCTAGCCCTTGAGAAAACGTCTTTCGATTAGACAGTTTGGAAAACTATATCATCTGTTCTTTAAAGAAGGAAGTCCTAACTACTTCAGAGTGTTCGAGTTTYACATTTTAATCATTTTATATTCATTGATAATGTTTTATTTATGCTTGGCGGGAATKAGGTACAACTCGTAAACAGGTGCACCWTCTGCTTTTGTGTACGAAAATAGTTTCTAGAACGACCTTRTCCAAYCMWTWAMMWTYMMCCMWTTTTTTATGGAGAYTTACGTAATGCCCCTTTGTTATTTAGGATGTCTGGATCAACCTTTTTGGGACTTGATACAACCGTTTATTCTTTCAAATATTAATGACATTGTATAGAAGCTTATAGAGTTCTGCAACTACTCGTGGTTCAGTTCCAGGCGTTCGTTTTTGATTATAAAGATCTATGAATATGCGGACCGCATACGAATACATAAAATGGAAATAATGGAAAGTTATTTGAGAAGGAGGCTATATCGGCCAAAAAAACCTGCGAAGTCTGAAATTTATTTTTCTGAATGTAATTCCAAGGGTCTTTCGCCTGGAATAACCTACCATCTACTCGGCAAAAGAGGCTGAAACTATTTCACAATTAAAAAAAAAGTTGAAGAAGTGTTGTAGTGCTGACTCCGCGGCGTACAYGTATGAACAGCACATAGATTACCATACAGTAGTTATAAACTCAAAACATTTAGTGTTTTCACTGAATATATTCTGTTTTTCTTGTTGCCATGGACGTGCGTTTTCGCAAGATCTCAACAGTTSAATCTCCTCAATAATAATAAAATATTTATATTAAGAACTATTATCGAGTTGAGTGTCTGACGCAATAATCTAGAGTCAGATGGTTTAAAAATTATTATGCTTTCCTATGAAGTCAATCTGGATGGATGAACACTTGTTTTTTTAAATAAAGGTGCAGTTTATCTGTTTCTGAAGCGTCAACTTGCAGCAGCATTCTAGAGGCTTTAAGACATCATACGCACTTAACTCATTATCAAAACAATCCATTGTCTTAAAGCACATCGTCGCTAGAGAAAGGCAACCGCCAGAGAAAAAAGGCAGAGATGAAACGACGAGACGCCATTCTAAGAAGAAAGATAAGAATTCACGAAAAAKTGCCAAATCTCCCCTAAAAAAGTATGTCGTGTAAAGAAGATCTTATTAAAAGTGGATTGTAAGTTCAATATATTGAARAGAAAGACGATATTGACAATTTTTGTTTCGGTTCTTCATGCGTGTGCCCCCTGCTAGCAAGCATTTAGAACATCTTAATGAATCATTTATTAATTGCATCAGGGGCTTTTGCGAATAACAAATAACTGACAAAGCAGCTTGGGAAACCCCCTGCATAATCAAGACCAAGGAAGCGCTGSTGCTTAAATTGATTAAAAAATATCATAAATCATAACCTTGTCGCTACGTTAAAGATAAAAAAAACAATAGAATAAACAATCAATTTACACATAGATTTGAGGCTATTCCCGCCTATTCTGGAATTCTAAGAATAGACAATAGGCTGCTTTCTGATAAGGATTAAGTAATAATGCGCCTAAGAACTAGGGAACTCTCTATTGTTCTGCGGCATTGCAACTTTCCCACGTACAAATGTCTTGGTTTTCACATTGATTATATATCAACCTATGGGTAACGCATTTTTGAAATAAAATGTGGATAAACTCTATTTTTAAACAAAGTTTCTTTTGTATTAAAAGCTCTTATCCAATCATAAGCACTCAAAACAATAGCCAAAAGATGCTTCTAATTTGCTATGTTCCCCACGTAGAATTGCCTTAATAGCTTTCATGAAAGTGAAAACAGACGTCAAATGAAATATTAGAAATTGCGCTAACTTGTAAAGTTATAGCAGATTCAGTCATGTTTTAACCAATGGGATGGATGGATTATACAATGCAAAATTAGCAACTTCTTGCATTACTTTGCCGTTTGCTTCCCTAGTTCTTACTCGGGGCATTACTTAATATTCTACAGTGATATGAATTCTTAAATCATTGTTTGCTATGAGACATGTGGAATTGTCAGACGTCCTACTGCCCCCACCCCCCTCCGTTGTGAATGTCACCTAGAAACGCTCAATGATCACGAAGACATTTATTCGACGCTAATAATACTATATTCGATAGTACTTTCGATTTTAKCACGCACATTGATTATTATGAATGTGCAGAAAACCGAGTTGCTATTAAAAAACTCCGGCTTTTAAAKGTTATTTTATSAAAGCATTAGAACGGATATTTTCAKTGTGTCAATTCTCTGTTAGAAACACTTGGGATTCTTAGGAGAATACTCGACAAGTTTCTATCAATTAAGAATGGAAACACGAAACTGAGAATYTGACAGCTGAGCCCGAGAAATGTYYRYCAGTTCTGATTGGTGCACGTCATACTATCTTATCATTGGATGCTGARAATTTGAYAAGCGTCTCCATTGGATATCTGATATGGCTATACCACGTATGTGGCAGATTAAAATGAGGTCAATATTAAAGCACAATCGAGTGAAGGCTGCATATTTTTTTCGAACACACAAATAGAAAGCTAATTTGCGATTAAGTTAATCGAAAATCCACATGAACAGCTCAGATGATACTCTTAGACAATTTCAGATGGAGCTGGAAGATCGTTCCATGGCACAAGTGGTTGGTGAAAGCGTGGTGTATTCAGTCATGATGCTGTTGGCAATAACCGGCAATGCYTTTATGTTAATCGTTATCTTGAAGAAAAAACGTCTTCGCACAACAACCAACTGTTTCATCGCCTGCTTTGCAGTTTCAGATATTATGATGGGGATTTTCAACGAGCCCTTGTTCCTSTCCGCTCTCATTGTTTCCAAATGGCCTTTCAACAGCTTTCTGTGTCAATATGAAGGATACATTGCAGTGTCAATGAGTTGTGTTTCAATCCAAACTCTAGCGTGGACTGCTTTCAGTCGATATGTTAAAGTTGTAAAGTCAAGCAACTGGTTTACTCCAAGAAGGCTCATCATTTGCATAGCGTTYATTTGGATCTCATGTATCCTTTCTCCAGTGCCTTACCTKGTGTCAGGACAAAGATTCATTTTCCATCCCGCCAAATTCTTTTGTTACTTAACTCTCGATAAYGTGTGGTTTACCGCATTGTTGATATCTATCTATGTCGTCCTTCCAACAGTCGCCATAGTTTTTTGCTACTCCAAAGTCTTCTTAAAAATCTATAAACACTCGTCCACACAAGAACGATGCAGAAACAACAGTGCTGCGAATGTGGAAGAAATCAAAGTGACTCGATCTTTAGTGATCATGGTTTTTGTATTCATGGCGTGTTGGACTCCAGTGATCATAATCGACTTAATAGACACTKCATATGGAAGGTGGAGTCTACCAAGAGAGGCATACGYTGCATATTCCTTCCTTGCAACCCTGGGTACTTGCGTCAACCCTTTTATATATGGACTAACCAACCCTCAGATAAGAGATGAATACATCAGCGTTTGGAAAGAACTAACAATTGGAAAGCAAAACGCTAGTGTTATGGTTACTAATAACCAAGRATKAGAAAATACACAAGCTGTCTAAAAAAAGGTGTGYTCCTTCCGGATGCATAACCAGACAATATGACTCGGGTTTGATACATTAAGAGAATACAGTCCGAACATCTGCATCGGTTATTCGTTGATAAKACGGATAAGAAATTGTAATCTTGACTGCTAAGTAAAGCTAAAASGCGAACCAATTTGAGCACACGGAAATATTTCACATGYTCACATTTGCGGAAAAGTGTTCATTCACTTAAATTATTTTGCTTGAAGCTTGTTTACATGAATAAGTGACATAAGGAGTAATCTTCCGTCCACTATGAAAGATTATGAATAACAACAACAGTCACTCCTCTGTTTTGTTTTGTTTTTTTCTTTTTATCATGTAATAAAAAACTTGGTACTCATTTTCTTTTCGACGGAAAATTACTCCAGCTCTTCTGTTACTAATCAGTTGYAGGAGAAATATGATATCAATGACTTATAATTTACTTTTTCAAATAYATTTACTGCAAACATAACAATTAACCTATCAAAAATACATGTATATCTATAACTGACATAATGATGACATATCAGTCACTATTGTTTCTCGATAAAGAAATAAAGCGATACAATAAAGTAAAACAAACAAACCGAAAAACAAAAAACTATAACAAGCAAAACACAAACAAAAAAGTTATTATTATTGTGTCATGAAAGCRGAAATGAGATCTAAAAAGATTTATAAAAAGGAGCCCCTTAGGGAATCTTCCTACTCTTTCAACCAAAACATAAAACCMAAGCACTTGCCACTGTAAGTRCGGCTATTAATTAAAGCTCCACAGCCAAGGGACATACGACTTTATAACRCTAAGATAAATGCGCACCTTAAGCCTGCATGTAAATACCGYGCAAACATCCCCTTGTCATCCAAAAAGATCTTAAGATGATAAGATAAATGCATTATCAAGAATTTGCCGAAAGGCATAAGCTGCCTGTAGAATGTTTTCAAAATGGCACTCAGCAACCATTCACGTTTATCTAAAAAGTAAAGTTGTCAATTATATCTCTTTAAATAAGYCTAATTATTTATTTATATTTGTTGCTATATACAGTAACATGCATCGTAATCATTGATGAAAATGATCATGCCCTATTACACTATTTTTGTGATAATGATTATGAATATATTATATCAAGCGTTTTCTTCGCTGTATATGAATTCGCACCTTACAATTTTCATCATTTTAATGTTTAACGATATTATATGATACATTGTATATAGATTCTATGTAGTTGAAACCACAGACTCAATTCTCAGGTCTTCTTGAAGCGGTCTCGATCGGGATTGTGATGTGTTTCCAGCGGTAATTGTCGTCACAGCCGATGCCTTTTCGCTTCTTCGACAAAACTTGCAAAACATGATTTTCAAATACTCTTTCTTAAACTGTGGGTTCATCAGTCCATAGATTRTAGGGTTAGTTGCACTGCTCACCACTGCAAGGTAACTGTAGAAGGTATACACTTCTCTATTCATCGACCAGTAACCACGGCCTGTATCAATGAGATCAATGATTAGGATTGGMGTCCAGCATGTCATGTACACCARCATCACCACAAACAATGTGCGAGTTATCTTAATTTCCTCGACGCTCAGGTTATTGYTAGAYCCTCTTGACTGTGCAAATTGTTTGTTATGYYTGTRRACAGCTTGGAAGACCCTGAGRTAGCAGTATAGTGTRACGCTGGTTGGGATTCCTATGTATAACGATACTGCWAGKGCTGTATACCATGTTACGYTAATTKCAAGRTAACAGAAGTATTTTCCAGGATGAAASACCATGCGATTTCCAGATAACAAATATGGTATTGTAGTCATGGCCGCAAAGAACCAAAACAATGCAATGTAAAGTCCTGTAGACTTCATCGTAAAGTATTTCCTGTACTTTTTTGGCTTTACAACACGAAAATATCTATTCACAGAGGTCCATGTCAATGAYTGTACCGATGCRAGCGCCATGAAAACCGCTATGAAACCGTTGTACTGGCAAGCTGCATCTCCAAAAGGCCATTGACCAACAACAAGAACAGTGAAACACATTGGCATCGACAAGACAGCMATTCCAATGTCAGAAAATGCCAATGAAACGATGAAAAGGTTGGGTACAGTGCGGAGTTGACGATTTTTGTAAACTATGAAGAGTGTCATGGCGTTCCCGACGAGTATCAAAAGTCCAATGGCTAGAAAAACTCCACTTTCAAAYACAACACGAGCAGTGCTTCGYGATCGTAATTCAACAGCAAGTCTAGCTAAKACAGCAGAGTTATTCATATCGTTGTAGCTCAGCTAATGTAGCCGCCTGTTACTTTGTACTTGCTTGCTTTTAAAGTTCAATAACTACTGCGCCACATCCTGTAATTCTGTGCCACTTCATAAAGAAAACTGACAGTTTCTCGTTGCAYCTGAATAACGAAAAGCAGACAATGAGCATGCGTACTTATAAATATCATTAGAAATAAAATATTTTGTAGCAATTATAATGTAATTAGTTTACCTACTCTAGAATGTCGAATCATGCCTTCAAAGTTTTAATCAATTTAATTTTGTAATATTTTATCTTAAATATGAAATAAAGATGGTCAACTTAAATTTTCGAAATTTTGTAATGAGTAAATACTCCAGTTTCGAATTCTCCAATGTGTAAGCCTCACGTGTGCGCAAAATATTCCTTAGTTGTGAGCGTAAAAGTGTGARATTTCAAATCAAATTTATTGTCTTTCGTCAAAAATTCCATGCGTTTTCTTGAGCTATCAATGAAACAAAADAATATGTTACTTGGTTTTGATGCTAACACAGAGCAAACCAGAAYTCGAAATTGGAATATTGGTWTATTTTCTAATTTTRTAAATGGTAGAATTGCAAGTAGAGACTATTAAAGTAGACAAGAAAATAATATTGTCACTGCAAGTTTAAATTGAAATGACATCTGAAATGGTATCAGTCGTTRTAAGTTTTGCTTCTAAATTGAGTGTGTGTCTAAGTCAATAAAATATCCTACTTAGTGCAATTTTTGAAGCCAAAATGACGCGCTTTACAAAAGGAAATTAAAACTATACCAAGACTTGCGTAAGTTAAGCGTTCAAATTAAATAAAAAATGCTCCGAAAAAAAGAAAATATTGAACCAAATCTAATTGGCAAGTGCATTATTTGTTTTAAACTGTATCATGATTGAGCGAAACTAAATCTTTGACAGGCTCAAGCGGAACATGGGAATAGGACAAAAAAATGGTAAGAAAGAAGAAAGACAAGATGAGAAAGAAGAAGAAGAAGAAGAAGAAGAAGAAGAAGAAGAAGAAGAAGAAGAAAAAGAAGAAGAAGAAGAAGAAGAAGAAGAAGAAGAAGAAGAAGAAGTAGAACAAGAAGAACAAGAAGAACAAGAAGAAGAACAAGAAGAAGAAGAAGAAAAAGAAAAAGATTAAAAAGAAGAAAAATATAACAACAAGAAGAGACTGCTTTGGAAGGACAATTAAAGCTAAAGAAAATAGAAAACATCATCCGAAACTTCTGCTTTCTAAAACTGCCACTAGGAAGTTGCTTTCAGAATTTTTTTAAACTGAAAGACACTATCAGGTCCTTCGCCGGTAACATGGATGACATAATGTACATACAGTTTACCAGTTGTAGGGTCGGTTGGTATATTGTGAATTCACCAAATCGTAGGTAGACATCAGACAATAATGCTTGGTCTCAAAAAGACGATGGCTCTTCGATGACTTGTCACTAAATGTAAATTATCACTGTAAGGAAGCTGGGAAAAATACTTAATTAAGTCAATACAAATTTGGTTTTAACGGAAATTCATTTCACAATTTGGCACGAATTATACGCAAATATAATTTCTCATATCAATAAGCGCGCAGTAGGYGAGAAAAAAATTCATGAACTTGTTTGTTCAAGTCATTTCAATATCCTGAATAGAAAATATTGCAACATAGCAAGGAAACGAAGCCTTGTCTTTGGATATACCAACACCTTTATGTATACAAGCTCGATATTTTGTAAACACACTATTTCGCAGCTGAACAACGTAACAATGACAAAACTAAAATTACTAAATGCATATTTGAGATGAACGCCTGTATCTTAGTAGAATTGAAATACTTTTAATGAAAAAKCACAAATGATTTAGTTTACTTTAGAAAATCGTTTCTGATCAAACTTTTATTTCCTTTGAGCAATAGAGGACACTTAAAGGAAAGCTATGCAACACTTTGAATATCACTGTGAATATGGATGTAAATATACGTTAATAGTTTTATTCGTTTCATTATAAATTATTCTTTCAAGTTTAAATACAAAAGATCAGGGTGTTTCATCGTTTTCTGCTCACCTTGTAAGTATAGCTATTAATTAATTCCGATAAAAGTTATWAAGTGTCATCTAGTCACCGGCATCAGCTTTGAAGTTGTAAGTAATAGTGACAGAAATTAATTCACAAAATGTACAAAGATGTTACAASACGTAATACCACATCTTTCATATACATAATTAATTCAAACTAATGAATCGATTTATTATTAATTAATACTCCCCTTAATGATGGATCAATGGGAGGCATGATTAATTCAGCTCATGCAGAGATGAATGGTGATAAAGTAATGATTGTACGTCCTACACCATAACTGATAAGGGACAATCTTCGGCGGCCAACGTCAGCAAGCTGTTTCACCTACTTTTTTATTACGTGTTAAATTTATCTTTTTACACAATAATCAAGACTCAGTCGTGTGGTATGGACTTTTACAAAACCCCACATAGTCAACATTAATGCTGCTAATCATGATATTCCGAACGTATTGTTGAGATATAAGCTGGTGCCTATCAGGTAGCGTMACGTGATTAGAAAGCGCGCGAAAGCTTTTGAAAACGATCACGSCTGAAAAAGGTGAAGAAAGAAATATTTGCGATTCGGGACTGTCTGGACTATTGGATAAAATTCTGAATACCGTTACCAGATTAACACGCATTTTCCATGGAAGATGAGCAAAGATCAACGAAGTAAAAGTGGCTGTCAGAACATTAACAATCTGATGAAAATGACCTGGTGGAGTCAAAAAAATTGTTTTACTAGAGTTAGACATAAGGGGTATAAACTTTCACTTTTGAGTTAATGCATTTTCCTACGTACTTTTCCTTACTCTAAAGAAATTATGTCGCTGAAACTGCTGCCTGGATTCTCAAGCCAAAGTCTTCTTGGTGAGATCTTGAATGTGTCGCATTTGCACTGGAAATTTCCGTTACCATGGAAGACGTGCACATGTTTGACCAGCGTAACTGACACCGCAAGATTTTCAGATACTCTTTCTTAAACTGTGGGTTCATCAAACCATAGATTATAGGGTTAGTTGCACTGCTCACAGCTGCAATAAAGCTATAGAAGGTATACACTTCTCTTTTCATCGACCAGTAACCACGGCTGGTATCAATGAGTTCAATGATCAGGATTGGCGTCCAGCATGTCATGTACACCAACATCACYACAAACAATGTRCGAGTTATCTTAATTTCCTCSACGCTCAGGTTTTTRTTAGAYCCTCTKGACTGTGCAAATTGTTTGTTATGCCTGTGAACAGCTTGGAARACCYTGAGRTAGCAGTATAGTGTGACGCTSGTTGGGATTCCTATGTATAAAGATGCCATAAGGGCTGTATACCATGCTACATCAATTTTCACAAAACAGAAACATTTTCCAGGATGAAAGACCATGCGATTTCCAGATAACAAATATGGTATTGTAGCCATGGCTGCATACACCCAAACTAAAACAATACCCAGTTTTGTAGACTTCATCGTAAAGTATTTCCTGTACTTGTTTGGCTTTACGACACGAAAGTATCTGTTAACAGAGGTACACGCCAAAAATTGCACCGATGCGACTGCCATGAAAATTGCTACGAAACCGTTGTACTGGCAAGCTGCATCTCCAAAAGGCCAATACCCAACAATAAGGGCAGTGGAACACATCGGCATTGACAAAAGGGCTGCTCCAATGTCAGAAAAGGCCAGTGAAACRATGAAAAGGTTGGGTACAGTGCGGAGGCGACGATTGATGTAAACTATGAAGAGTGTCATGGTGTTCCCGATGAGAATAAAAACTAAGATGGATAAAAATAGTCCACTTTCCAAAACAACACGAGCAGTGCTTCGTGATTGCAATTCAGCACCGAGCTTAGCCAAGATAGCAGTGTGATTCGGCATATCGTTGCAGATCAGCCAACAGTTGTTCCTTGCAGTTACTTGCTTTCAAAGGTCAATACACGGTAGCCCACGGGCAACTTAATTAAACCGTTTTCCACTTCGGCTTGTCGAGAGGAATTTTCATGTATTTTTAAACTATAACATGACTTGTAGTCTAGTATAACGAGGAATGTAAATTAATCAATAATATGACCTTTCCTCGTCCATGAAGTGCTTCAAGAACCGTGGAAATYRAAATTAAAATGTCTGGAAAGTAAAAATGACATGTAACATCGATGCAAATCAATGAAAAGCACAAGAAGAAACTGAAAATAGGAGGAGAAAGAAACACAACTGATCATGGAAATCCCCTGAAAACAATTTCTAGAAGGAACAACGAAATTCACTTCTCACAAGATATAAATAACTAAAGGACAAGAAGGTGAATGTCTGATTGTTCTCAATAATATATCATCATCAGCATGGATTGAATAAGTCATGAAACAGCCATTCGTATTCATATTTACTTTTAAGGAAAGTTTCACTTTCTTCGTTAAAAAGGTCGACTTTGTTTAAGTCATGAAATTTCACTTTCTTCGTTACAAAGGTCGACTTTGTTTAAGTCATGCAACTTCC